CTTGATTGTTTGGTCACCTGGGCTGGAAAAAATTCCACGATTTTCTCACAAACTTCCTTTTTTTCAGCATTTTGATTGTCAGTGAGAGAGTTTTGTCTTGTCCATGATGGCAAGTGTTTTACTCATCAATGCAAGGAATGTTGGTAAACTTCATTGTTCCATGACAGCGTGGGTCGAATGAATGAGAGTGTAGGAAATATGATGTGGAAGAAAAGAGTCAGATTAACGGGGAAAGACATTGATGGAGGCCAGATACACAAATGGTAGGGAGAGGCATTAGAGTAAATGGCAGCTCTAAAGATTTGGGAGGGATATCAATAGACATTTCTGCCTTTGACATCTTGTGAAAGAGATTACTCAGAAGAAGCAAGATCGATCTTGAAAACCAGGGAAGAAAGGACCTACAAACGTCTGTTCTTGACATGTTGGAAGAGAGGAACTGTTCTTCGACCTCAATCGAAAAATTCCTGTTTTCACTTACCCCATGGTCTGTCTAGACTGGACCCAGGACCGAAACACGAAAAGTAACTTATCGCACAGAATGCTTGATTTAGTAGCCCTGACGATTAAAGCCTAGAATTTCATCGATATCGTGACTCATTTGATTATGAATGCGGAAGGGTGAAACAGAACATTCGGCTTCTTAACGTGACTCCATAAAAATGCACAGGTTGGACTCTCATCAGAAAGATGATTGATTGGGAATTGGGAACTCAATGTCGTAATGCAAAACTTTCCTCCGCATCGGGAGTGCTTTGAAATGCAATGACTGCAAACTTTTTTGTCACGGCACCTCAGATTGTATTATATTGAAAAGAAGACTCCAACGATGTATCATCGCGAGAATTTTCCATTTTAGCATGCAATAAAAACGTTATTCTACCCATTTAGTGCACTTTAGGTCTTACAGTGTTTTTCACTCGAGTTAGACAATATTTCACTTGACTTGTATTAGGTTGTCCCAAAAGTTTCTTTCGTAATTCGCGCGAATGGCGTTGCTAGGCAATAGAACAGCGGATAGTGCGTTCTGCCGGCTCTTTTTTTTTCACGTTCACGTGTCTTTTCTCTTCCTGACAGTGTGTTTTGTTTGCGGATAAACCGCTTCATTATTTTCGTGTGCGTGCTGAAAAATGGATAGCCAGAGGAGACATTTTCGGCATGTGATATTTTTTTTCACGTCACGTGTCTTTTCTCTTCCTGACAGCGTGTTTTGTTTGCGGATAAACCGCTTCATTATTTTCGTGTGCGTGCTGAAAAATGGATAACCAGAGGAGACATTTTCGGCATGTGATATTGCACTGCTTCAAAAAAGGCATCGGGGCTGAGGAAACTGCAAGTGAGATTTGCGGCGTTTACGGGGACCATGCTGTGACTGTCCAGACCGTTCGCACTTGGTTCAAAAGATTCAGAGCTGGGGATTTTAGCCTTGAAGACCGAGAACGCAGCGGGCGACCATCCACTACAGATACGGATCTCATGAAGGCCTTAGTGGATGAAAACCCCCGGTATACTATTAGAGAGATCGCAGAGAGTCTGAACATCCCGCGAACAACGGTGCATAATCATCTAATGAAGATTGGCTACACAAATCGATATGAGGTGTGGGTACCCCATGACCTGACGGAGCGCAACATCCTAGACCGCATTTCCATCTGCGATTTGCTGCTCCAACGCCACGAAAAAGATCCTTTTTTGAAAAGATTGGTCACCGGGGACGAAAGTTGGATACTTTATGACAACGTGGGACGCAAACGATCCTGGTCCAGCCGAGACAAAGGTCCCATTCCTGTCGCTAAAGCCGGGCTCCACCCGAAGAAAGTTTTGCTGTCTGTCTATTTGGTGGGATTGGAAGGGTGTTCTCTACTACGAGCTGCTTCCACCAAACCAGACCATCAACTCTGAAAAATACTGCTCACAACTCGACAAATTGAAGTCAGCAATAGCCAGGAAATGCCCAGAATTAGCAAACAGACGAGGTGTTGTCTTCCACCATGACAACGCCAGGCCACACGTATCTTTGGCTGTTAGAAACAAACTCCTTGCGTTCGATTGGAACGTTCTGCCCCACCCTCCCTACTCTCCGGACATTGCTCCGTCCGACTACTATTTGTTTCTTTCCCTCAAAAACTCCCTTCGCCAAAAAAATTTGACTCTTTGAATGACATGAAAAATCACCTCTATAAGTATTTTGCCAGCAAATCACAAACGTTTTGGAAAGAAGGCATTATGAAACTTCCGGAGAGATGGAAGAAGGTTGTTGAACAGAGTGGCACATATATACTTCAATAAAATTTCGCAGTTTTCCAAATTTCGCATGGTTCATTTTTTGTAAAAAACGAAAGAAACTTTTGGGACAACCTAAATACTTCAATAATATTGAATTTTCAGAAAGATAGAAATAAGAGAGAAAGAGAAAGCCTCTGAAGTTGCTTTTATTTCAAAACTCCTTCAAGTGAGAAATCTGATTTGAGACAAATGAGAATTTCATGAAACTTACAAGCATCCCAAAAAGTATATCAATGAACCAAAGGATATGACAAAGCGAATTGTAAGAATACAAGGACCATAAAAAGAATATCGAAGCAGAGGTGGCAGCTGACAAAAGTGATCCTCTGAATGAAAGCATTCATCTAATATGGTTTGATCAATTTTTTCAGTTCATTTGTGTAGTATCTGCTAACAAGCCTGAAAGAAATCAAAATAGCTGTAACTCTTCTTTGGTAGAGTTGAATTATTATGGAACTGTATTCATATACCTTTTGTGATGGTGTTTAACAGTAGTCTACCTTGTTATACATCTAAAAATGTCAAAGCACCCCTTTTGAGGAGTATGCCCATATATTTACAAGCTGATGCTATCCTGCCCTCCATATACTCACGACGGGGGATCTTGCAGGCATCAAAAAACCCACCCACAAGGCTAAGGAAGTGAAAAATAGCCATTTGAAAAAAAAGTGGAATAAAAAGTTGCTTAAGAAAATTTTACCCTGGAAATATTCAGAAAAAAAGATTTTGCCTGGAATAAAATTGAAGCAAAATGATGCCAAAAAAATCAGCTGAAATCATCCTAGTTCAGGAGTAAGTATGACACTGCTTCACTACCATACTTCTGCAAATTTTGGGATTTAAAAATTATGGATGACCTAATTTAAAAATTAGAGAATAGCAGCTTTTCCCTTTCATACCTGGCCCCATGCATTACTGGTTATAAGTATGCTCAGGATAGGACTCCAAACAGAAAATACAAGATGGCTAAATTCCTGCTATGTGAGACTGAACATGATCCTTTTCCTGCATGGATTTGTTTTAGGTATGGGTATATATTCCAAATTAGTAATGTGGTGTCAACAAGGTTTAGGAAACATATACATGCCTTCATACAAAAACATCATACATGTACACGCCTTCATTTTGAAATGTATACTGAAATTTAGAAATTAAGTAAAATCATGAAACCTTAGTTCTGCTAGCAATCAAATCCCTGTTTCCTGTCATGCCCTTTATTTCCCCAGTTTTTTACAGCCAGTTTGAGTCAGGGTGCAGTTTTTTATGCAGACAGTATGAAGTACTACAATATTCTCAATAGATGATGGTAGATTTCATTTTGAGTCTCACGTTCACATACAAGTGACAGCAGCAATAACAAGGGGGATATCAAAAATGTGTGTGCATGCAATTAGCAGTGAGGGCATTTCTTTCGCTGATGTGTTAACATGTCAGTGACAGTTAAAGGGTTAACAGCCTTTTTATGTTACTTTCAGTAATTAACTAGGAAAAATGTATATATGGCTGGGATAAGAATTACCAAAAATTATTCACACTTAAAAATAAAAAAACCTGTCTTTGATATGCTCTAGATACATCCAAATACATAACTGACACATTGTAAATGAATCTTGATTGATTGCTTGCATTGCCAACTGATATAGCTGTTATTCATGAAAAGTTCAAGTGTAGGAGTAGGAAAATTCTTGAAATTGGAGGTTCCATGTGAAACCTTTTGGCACAAGAAGGAAATTGATTGCTAGGAAGCTTGAAAATTTTGGAAAAGAGGAAAGAGTGAAATCCATATTTTGTCTCTCCTGTAATCTTTCTCAGCAAGTCCCTTTTCATAAAGTAGAGAAAGAAAGTAATTAATTGCTTCAATACCAATAAGACAGGAAAAAATTGATCATAACTTAAATTATGCATAAAGTTACTTTTGTTTCATGAGGGTGTATCCAATATGGAGCCTTATGAACACCCCTCCTGAAGTGAATCCCACACTCAGAAAAACATTGTATTGACATCTCATAGTATAAGGATAACACACCATTTCATGTAGCAGGGATTCTTTTTGGCAATAGGGATTCCTCTATTTTCCCAAGGACCAGAAAATGACAATATCAGATTCAAAATGATGAATAGACAAAGTGCTTATTTTGTCAAGTGGAAGCTTCATATCAAGAGTTGCTTTATCTTGGATTTCTTTAAAAATATGTTTGAAAATAGTTGGATGCAATTGAGGCTGCAGGAAAGTAATGGTAAAATGAGTTCAAAATTACTGTACCTGAAGTCCTGATTATGCCCCTCATTCCCTTCCTGCTGTGGTCACTTTTTCCCCCAGCAATGTGGGTTCACCTCAGGTAAGAGATAGCTGTGTACCTTTTTTTTTTTCTATTTCTTTTTTTCTTTCCCTCTGCCTTTTCTCATATTGTGTGGCTTGAAAGGCATATTGTAAGTTTCAGTGGAATGATATGTAATGATATTATGTAGTAGAAAACTCACCTTCATTATTGTCATGAGAACATCTGAATGCTGAGATAATGATATGAAAAGCTGCAGGATGGACAATATTAAAGGAGAAGAACCCTTCCTCCCCTGCATATCCAGTGCACATCCAAGCAGAGCCCCCAAGAAGGCTTGGTTTCCCTGTTCAAAAATGATATAGTTAAGAATAGGTGATTGCTATACCTGACTTCTTGATGTATGTTTTTATGTACAAGTGATAAAGGTGTGAGTCAAAGTACCTGCAGAAGACCATGTCTGCCCTCTGGAATCTGCACTATGTGTGCTAACACTTGGAAAAGCAGCTCTGCTTGCTTTGAAAACTTCCTTTGGAGCTTGAGTTCAGCTTGATGAGCAATTATAGAAGCCAGTCGTCCCCATATCCCTCCTGTACCTTTTTCAAACAGGCAGTCTCACAATCATTAATTCATTAAACTCTCTGGATCTTGATGGAAACACCAATCATACCATTGGGAAATCTGCCTTGTGCCACTGATGTCATACTTGCCAAAAAGCACAGGTATGTACCCAGGAGAGCTTCACTTGACAAGGCCACAGGGAAAAGTCGCAGGCAGAGTTTTGGAAATATTGCTGATGATATCACAGCTACTTTTGCTTCTGTGCTTCCAACTATCAAGGCATTCAATAGCTGCCAAAGAATGCAGCATTGTTCCTATGAACACATGAGCACATACATGAATTCTAATTGGTCCCAACATTATTTTGAAAAGCACATCTAAACTTAGGGCAGCTTCAGAACGTCTCTTCACTTCCACAACATACTAGTACACAAACCTCTCATTCGTATCATGTAATTTTGCATATAAATATGCTTGTAACCTTGAAAGGTATTCATGCAACTGGCTTATTTATAGGTAAAACGTACCAGTATTGGAAGCACCTTCCAGTTACAGCAGGATATTAAAACTAAGCAAGCTTACCCTGCGACTGATTTGTATGGTAGGTAGTTCCAGTTCCAGATCAAGAAGTGTCTGACTGATGGTGGCCAGGAAGTCAGAATTAAGAGCCTGAAATTTGGCAGTTGAAGAGACAGTGAGTAGTGCTCCCAAAGCTCTGTGAATGGCATCCACTCGCAAACCCTGAGCTTCGTGAAGTCTCCAAAGTCCACTTATTTGCTCAGCCAAAAGGAATCCCAAAGCTTGAGTCCCAAAGATATCATCTTTGCCTCCTTCTTTATCCATGATGCCTGCAAAATTCTTGTGCTTGTGACCACTTATGCAGAAGCTGGTGACAAATTCAAGAGCAGCATTCTGGAGATCCTGTGGGCTTTCCCTGCTGAGAGCTTTTGGTAGGGTGTCTCTTAAAATTTGCACATTCCGACTCATCATTGGAATTAGGATGTTAGCTGCATCTGCCACTCCTCCCAGAAGTGCTTGAAGAAATACCATCACTTGGCTCCATAAGTGGACTGCCTCTTCTTTTTCAACTTGAAAAGGAGTACAGTATGACCATCACAATGAGATTATTCATGTGACTTACCAAAAAAAGCATAATATTTCACCTTTTAAGCAGAACAAGGTGCAGTGCAAAAAAATTGATTCCCTGAGGAGCTGAACAGGGAGGGAAGATGCTGCTGGGAGCTTTAGCACGAAGGCCAACAATTCCAGAATATCACCATAAAGTTTTGTGATAGCTCTTTCATCAACCTTCTTCCCTTTGGGCTCCATCACTTCCCAATCTAAGCACCTACATTTCAACATGGACCAAGACTTCATCATCAGGTAAACCAACTTTTTACATCACATAATAGGTATGAGGAGTCCATCAAACCTTGCTAAAGAGAGCGGGAGACCAGTCTGGACAATCATTGAGTGATTCTCCCCTGGGAGAAGCAAGAGAAGATTTTTCAGACAGTGGCAAAGGGCTGAGAGAAAGGATGGTGTCACAATGATTTCTTCTCCATTTTGTAAACCTTCTGCAAAGAAAAGGAAGTCTTGACTTTGCCATTGTCAGTCTCTATTTCCACTACATGAAGAACTCATCATATCATAAAAAACCTTAACACTTTGAGTCCTGGCAATTTGAATGCACTATGGGTGTAGGATGTCATTTGACAGCTGCATGGCTCAAAGTGCTAAAGATGATTCATGCCCATGCACAAAACATCTACAAAAGTTTTTCCCACCTATTGAATCTCCAAACTTCTTGTTGTGTGCATCCAGCCAGCATTCTGAGAAGGGATAGAAATTCTGCACAGCTGAGTTCATCTTGGAAAAAAACCCACTGTGGTGCAGAAGGACTTGTAAGGCATCTACACCATTCAATTGCACCTGAAGAACAAGCATCTCCATTGAACACCATCTTCCCAAAGACCTTGCCAAGTTTCCATTATCAATTGCAATAAAACCCTGTTCAAAACTGCAGCCCCAACTGATGTGTGAAGCTATTTTTTGGAACAAGCATGCCCTCTCAACAATGTGGTTCCCTTCCCTGAAGTTTGCTCATACACATCCTACAGATCAATTTCCTATAATCTAAGTTCTCTTCAAGATGATGTTGGATATGGCCACAATTTGGAGACCTAATCCCATTACATAAATTTCATTGTTTTTCACATAAAAAATCACCAACAGTAGCTCTGATCAATGTTTGAGAACCAAGTGCTAGAGGATATATACAAATTAAACATGGAAGTGATAGGGTAATGAGCCTTTGGATGCTGAAAGCGTTGCAGGATTTTCCTCAGGGGCATGTTCAAGGGCTTTTTTTAACCTTCAGTGCAGCAAGGTCTTAGAATCTCCCTTGAAATGAGAGGAGAGGAAGTTTTTAGAATGTACAAAGTATAGTAAGTTGGTTGATTGCTGTCAACATTCATAACTTGGAACAATGAATTCTAGAATTACCATAAGCAAGTATTGATTATAAAATAAAGACAATAATTTTGTTTTGAAATCAAAGTCATGAGTATTCATATCTAATATACCTAAATACATTACTGACAATGTTATAAAATCTAAAATGAGCCTCTATCTTCAGATTTGTAGCTTTACTGACAGTTTCATCTTCAATGGTAGTCTCTTCTCCCTTCTAATCCAAGAAAAAAATGGCCATGCAACCTGTTTTTTTTATAAAGATGTTTAGCATGTTTAATAAAATTTCACTACCCAAGTAGCCAAGGGTGATCCAAAACTCATCCATGGACAGTCCAGTGATGATCATAAGTCCAGAAATGGTTATCCTTTGGATGTACATAGGATGTTATCGCCATGGATCAATAATTTCTGATGCATTCTGAGCTTTATCCAAGCAGAATTTTTCTACATCGAACACTCAATTATTTCAATTTTATTGAATGACAGTTTTATGGAATGGTTTTTTTTTCTTCAAATCTCTCATCTTAGGTCGATACCCAGCAACTTCAATCATTATATAGATAGTGTGACATTATAATTGGACCAGTGCATGATTCCATTTAGAGTTCGACAATACAAACGAAACGATGTGTCAGTCCGTCTTTGGGCATCCATTGGATGTTTAGCAAAAGAACTTCCAAGGACGTCTTCTTACGGTCTACCATTGGATGTACTTGGATGGAGTCCCCTCCCCGTTGAGGCCTTCCATATAAATATTTTTATTCAATAAATATATTATATTGAATATACTTTATATTCAATAAATATAAAGTTCCTACAATATAAGCGAGGTCGCACTCATCCCGCCGCTGTATGTCTCCTGATTCCCCAAATGCTAATGAATGGTTTTGCAGAGGCTTTCATCCTCAACTCGATCATTTTCCACGTACAAGGCGAAGGAAGGAAGTAGTTCTAATTAATTAATTCATTTTTTGAGAACCATAACATAGCTCAAGGAGACTCCAGGTAATTCTTGCTCGATACATGGGGAGAGTGGGTGAGGTGAGTCTAGGGGCTTATTTTATCACCCAAATCACATTGACCAAAGCGATGAGGCGTATAGCCTCATGTGGAGGAGGCTGGGATGGAAAGCTGAGAGAATTCACTCAGGAATTTTCTGTCCAATTTTTCTCCTTTGGGGACGTTGAAGATGGAGCCTTTCATCTCTAAATGACGAGATCAGATATTCGCTGTAATGCTACTTTCCTTGGCCACGGTATTCTTGTGCATGCAAAATTTACTCCATTCCCAAGTGCCAATTTTGAACCAAAATAAATCCAATGGACATGTGGTCATGGACATCCACTGGATGACTAAATGTCTCGTCCAAGGATAATCCTTGGACAAGTCCATTTGATGTCTGTTTCTTTGGAGAATTGGAGATTCCCAATGGGAAAGCCCTTGAATGACCATTGAGGAGTGCAATAATAGTCATCCTCCAGGTAGCAATGGAGTAAATTTTGCATGCACATGAATACAGTGGCCAAGGATATGGGTCCAATTATAATGTCACACTATCTATATAATGATTGAAGTTACTGGGTATCGACCTAAGATGAGAGATTTGAATTTTAAAAAAACTACAGAAATTCCATGATCAGATGCTTGTAATGCCATTCCATAAAACTGTCATTCAATAAAATTGAAATAACTGAGTGTTCGATGTAGAAAAATTCTGCTTGGATAAAGCTCAGAATGCATCAGAAATTATCGATCCATGGCGATAACATCCTATGTACATCCAAAGGTTAACCGTTTCTGGACTTATAATCATCACTGGACTGTCCATGGACGAGTTTTTGATCACCCATGGCTACTTCCCAAGTACTTGTACTAGGGCTCATGTAGCTCAAAAAAAATTGTCCCCATGGCCTTACCTGAGAGTCAGGATCACGCAATGATGGTCCCATAGAGGGCCCAAAGGAAGAATCTCCAAGAAGATTTACCACAAGCCATAGTGCCTTCTCCCTCACCATGCATGCTTCATAATGATCCAACACAAAACTGACGAGAATGAGAAAAAGGATATGCAGTGTAAAATAAGATTTGTTTACAAACTGATAAACATTTCAAGCTTCAGTGTACCTGAATGCAGCACCCCAAATTCCACCAGCAACTTGATGAAGATGTCGTGTGAGGAGCTCACGACCTCTAAGCTTCATACTTAAGATAAGAGCAATTGTGAGACCAGCAGTCCTTACTTCTGGATCCCGATATGTAAACAATGGCACAAGCCACGTTAGACTATTCATCTCGGTGAGACTGTGACCTGGTCCACTTCCCAGTTCTCCTTTGTAAAGCCACAGCTCCAACCAATTCTAATGAAAAACCAGATTCCATTTCAAGAGTAGTGGCATGCACAGGGTATCAAAATGGTCCAAGTCTTCCAAATATTTCATTTGTAGGGGAAGTCCCAAGTTAAACCAACTAAAGTAGAACCATGTAATAGTTCAACTGGACAACAGAAATATGGAGTGACAAAATAGAACAATTAGTTTTCTTTAACCTATTCAACCCAGCAATCAGAGTGCTTCATAGGATTAACTCTTTCTTTCCTTCTAGTACTAATAGTAAAAATAAAAATCGAATGAAAGAGCAAGAATATGGATTGCAGAAGTTAATTTTAAAAAAACTTATATTTTCAATAAGACCCTTAAAAAATTTCAACATTTATGGCCAGGGTCTTGCCAAAGGGAGGACTGGAATTTATGTAGATTTCCTTGATCTGGAGGGTGGGGGTGGTGATGGATGCATTTTGGTTGGGGGGGGGTTGGAACCAAACTTGGGGGGCTGAACCCCATCTACTTCTATTTCACTGTGCCACCATTCATGGCACAGAAGCATTCAAAGTATGAGTATATGCAATGTCACATGGAAATGTCCATGCTAGAGACAAACTCTTCCTTTGCTGCACCAAAGAGCTTTCAATTGTATTAATCAAAATTAAAGGTAGCAGTCTACACATAACATGCATTAAAAAACAGTAAGCATGATCACTTCCATAGTGAACCTAAGATAACCTCGTTATAACATTGTACCCTATGGTTCCAAATATTACCTGCACTAAGCCTAAACCAGACCAACAGATAACCTCCTCTTTACTTGATGAACTTGCAAATCTTCAATAATTCATTCCATGTTTTATAAGGAAGGGTGAGGATGGACATTTAGCATTTTCACAAAATAAGCTTACCTCATCCTGGAAGTTTGCAAGGAATTCATATCCAATGTGATTGAGACATATGCATGCATCCAGGGTGATTCCTCTCCCCATGAATGAATTCCCACTCCCACGTCCCAAGTGAAAGGCTGCCAAAACTTCCAGAAGCAAAGCCAGGAACTGAGTGCACACATTTTTCCTCTTCTCTATAGCAGAACTCCAGCCTTTTTTTCGACTCAGCTCCACCAAGCATCCTAGGCTGGCCTTCAACCATGCTGTAAAATGTCAAAGAAATAAAGATGATGGAACCAGCTTTGTGAATTAAATTAAATTGCAAAGTAGTCACTCACACAGACTATAGAAGTCAGGAGCATTCTGAACATGAAGAGTGTGAAGAATGGGTGGAATAAGGGATGCTGAAAAACTAACAGCATCCTCCTCAGGTAAGAGATTTGAAATGCTACTGTATAACAGCATTAGATTGGGTAGTTTTTCTTCATCATGTGATGGATCACCCCATTCAAATAAGAGTTCTTGGGATGTGGAGTGTACCTGAGAACTTAGCCAAGTGGATAAGTTTTTCTTCTCATCCTTCAAAGAGGTCAAGATGATACAGAGGAAACTGCAGATAGCATCAAATAGACGCTTGTCTTCCACTGAACTGGGAGTTGTAGAAAGATATCGGGTTATGCTCCTTTTCACTTGAGATAAGGATATCAGGTTAGAGACTGAAGAATTCTCCTCTGCCATCTTCCACAGATGGAATGTGCAACTCAACCAATGAATGGCCTTCAACACTACACTATGGGATGTTGCATTTTCAACATCAAGCATGCCCTTCTCCATGAGTGCACACAAGGATGCACCTCTCAATTGATTCAAATCATTTGCATCCATAAGCAGCCAAGGGCTAAAATCACTGCGTGAATAGGATGGAATTTCAGCCATTTTTTCCAAAGTATGGAAACCACCATGCAATGCAGCTGTCCAGTGGGTTCTCAGATACTGTTGGATGTGGTCCTTTAGTGGATGTGAATCAAGCGATCCTAGAATTGGTTGATGCTGTGCATGGACACTTTTCTCTGCATGAACTTTAACTTGAAGAGGAAGCTTGTAATGGCTGGCCACAAGAGAGGGAACAGATATTACTCCAACTTGAGGGGTCTGGATCACTTCATGAAACAGGAGAAGGAAGAACAAGTTTGCAGCTTCATGGCAGACCATCCCCTGGTTCACAAATACCAAACTACCTGCATGCCAGGAGACATATCCATCACAATCAGGGTTCAACCAGATGAAAGCTAATGGAATGGAGATTTTCATGACATGCATACCTTTGAATAAGAGAGAATGAAGTTCATGATTCTGGCTCAAATCACTGCGAACTGAGGAATTTCTCAGGCACAAATGTCTCAAGATAGTCAAACAGGGAGGAAGGACATCCAGGCACTGGTGGTCCTAGAAAAATTCAAGAGAAGCACTTATAATAGGAGTAAGAAATCATCCACAGCATATTTCATTTGTCAATATGGCAAAGGCTTGAATTTAGATTTAGTCATATTTTAGTTGGCAAAACATTATTTTCTTATTTTAAAAAAAAAAAAGACAGGACATGAGACAGACATTCATGACAGCAGACATATTTTACATGACACAGAGAGGAAGGGGGTGCCTGCTTGGCACGAGCACCACAGCTCAATCACAGTCCCTTAGGCTGGGACACCCCTCTACTGTCCTGTAAGAGGCCTTAGGGGCAGCTCATGGGTTACCTACACCCATGACTGGCAGGAGTGGTTTTTAAGGTGTACTACACCTGTATCTCCTGGACATGGCACACAGAGTGGTGTGTGTGTTATCCCATGCTAAGCAGATACTCCCCATGAAAGCAGGTGGGTCACCTGTCGGTAGAGGAAGAGCCCACCACCACATGGACTCAATCCTTCACCTCCTGGGTTTCACTCAGAATTGGCAAAACTTCCAGCATCAATTTTAGCTGTCATATGCCATGGCCATGCTTATTCATCTATTTTTTAGTCCAGCAATTTTCAGTTCTTCATTTAACCTACAATCAAGAGCAAGCACCTGAGACTGTTTACAAAGGGCATCATCCTTCTCCACGACATTGCCTGACCTCACACAGCTTGGGCAACAGTGGCCACCATTCCAAACCTAGGTTGGGAGCTCCTAGGTTAACTGTCATATGGTCCAGACCTGTCACCATGTGACTTTAGCATATTAGGACCCCATGAAGGGTCCCGTGAAGTTCAGGGGATGTCAATACCACTCAGACAATGACATGGTAGAGGCAGTGAGAACATGATACCACCAGATGCCAATGCTTTTTCAGGACAGTGCCACAAAAAATCTGGTTGAGCAGTGAAACAAATGTCTCAATGCAAGTGGAAAGGATTTTGAGTAAATTCTCCATGCAGAACTAATACAAATTAATTGCTATTTTCATTTGACTATCCTTACTACTTTTTATTATTATCCATATTTTGGCACAAGGTATGTCATGGCAAATAAAAAAATAGAGGGAGGGGCTAAGGTAACACAGTTAAGAAATTGTCACCCTGCAGACAGTCCTTCAGGTTTGGAAATAACTAAAAATTATTAGGAGCAAGGTTGGGAGAATAAGATGGGCATGGAAGCACTTCAATGTTATTATTCTGCAATACCAATTCTGGTTTCGTTGCTGATTGTTTTGGTTTAGAACAAACCCTGACTGGGCCATCTGAGGGTATTTTGCTGCTATACCTGGTAGCAATATGAAGGTCAAAAGGTTGGCATAATACTGCTAGTGATAGTACAATCCTTTGGAACATGATGGGCCAAAAAGACCGAAGCAAAGCTGCAGAGCAGAGAAATGCCCTCAGATAACCCAGTCTACCAGTTGAGAAATAGTTCTTTTCATAAATGATGACCTGAGAATGATGATACTGAGTTAGAAGAATCAGTAAGATTAATAGGGGAGTGAGTGAATGTTAAGGAGGAAGGAAACTAACATTTAAAGAATTGAGGAAAGTCTTCAAAAGCCAATCAAGCCCTGGGTCATGTAAAAACTTTTCTTGATTCTGGGGGTCATGCAAAAGAAGGGCAAGTTGAGTCAAAGATGGGAGCTTGTGCCTCAACTCTATCTCTGAGCTTCTGAGAACCTTGCAAACTCCATCCCAGTTCTCTCTCTGTAATATACACAAAATATCATTCAATTACATGCCAGGCTTCATGTTTAAGTCCACTGAAGAGCATAGCAAACAACCTGCAAATGATATGATTCTGAGACCATGAGAGGAGCTGGAGTTTGCACCAAAAAAATATCAGCTACATTTTGCATATCAAGACTGAGCAAAGATGGAAGCTGCTGTTCTTCAGATGACAAAATCCATGCAAGTTTGGGAAGAATTTCTCCTCTGACTTGCTCATTAGGTGAAAATAGAAGCCGAAAACAACCTCGCAAGACCTGCATGTATAGAACATGAATAAGTTATTCCATTATTGAATACTATTCATTTATTATTGAATGGGATCCATTGATCTAACATATAAGTGATACATCAACCCACTTGAAACTTAGATAAGTTCTCTGGTGGTAAGAGGAGAAGATTCAAAGCGAGTCGACCAACATGGGTGAAAGGATCAGCATGAGATTGTAGAAGAGATAAAACTGGCTCCAATGATGCAACCAGTTCCTCCCAAATCTCTCCAGGAAGTTGTTTACAACTGTTCAACAACTTTCCAACGATATTTTCACTTGCCTTCTGCACCTGTGATAAATGCATTTCACTTATTCATCCTCAAGTTTAATCCTTTTCCTCCAAATGTCTATTTAATTAAAAGTTGCATTCTCAATGATATCATATCAGATGCAAACAAATTCTATACAAGGACACTAAAGTCCCAATCATAACTATGAAAATAGCAGTACTACTGGTTCTTGGCCAATACCAAAAAAATATTATATATATAGGGTGATTCAAAATAATGTATACACACTTTGAATCAATCTGTACTGTTGATAGTAAATGAATGATGGTGAATTTGCTAGCATACAATATTACTTTAAAATTTTATTATTAAAGGTAATATAAATTATCATACATGGTGGATATACAGCTGAATTTCAAACAGAGGAAGAACATTTTAAAGTGGTACTGCAAGTATGAAAATGTAAGGAAGTGCAGCAAGTCTGGATGAGAAAGTGTGGAACAGCAGCTCCCATGCGTATAACAATTGGTTGTATACATGATAAATTTGAAGAACACAGAACTGTCCAAAACATGAATAAAACCTAGTGTGGGAAATATGGGCAGTGCGAAGTCAAGAAAATGCAGAAACTGTCATAACTGTACCAGCTTTCTCAACAAAAAATTTTTTTTTTGACATTTCACCTAATACCATTGTATTACTAATGACCATTGTATGTCGTTTTTGCATGTTCACTTGTGCACATAGCAAAGTTTTGTTTATTCAGTGCAATAAGTATTAAAGATACATAGTTTCAAAATGTGTATACATTATTTTGAATCACCCTGTGTATGTGTGTGTGCTGTCCAGATATTCTATGAGTTAACCAAATTCAATATGGATGAGTGGACCTCAGGATGAGCAGGACCACAATGGAAGAAAACACCAGGGTGTAAAGAGATAAATAAATAAAAATACTTGATCCTTATTTCTACCTTCTGTTCTGACTTTATCAAAACTACTCAGTGGCATAAGTAGTAGCATAGAGGAAAATAAAAAGGGGGGGGGGCAGCCAGGAACAATTGTCAAAATCCAGCTGAAATGACCCAATGAAGTGATAAAGAAGAAGGGTGCACAACTAAATGCTAAATGGCTTTTTTTGCATTGCCAAACTGCATATTTCTGTTCAGGTGAATTATTTGGAGATGGTTCTAATTGGGAAGAATGTTTCTAGGCATCTAATATTAATTTGCACATGAAAAAATAAGGCACTGATAAACCTGTTGGAAGCAAAAATAGCCTATATCAACAAGGCTCACAAGTAAGGACAACTGTGAAAAAAGTCTGGTTTCAGGGTCTCCCATTTCCATCAAGCAAGGAAAAGAACCCAAATGAGGGAAGAAAGAGGCCTGTAGAACTTTGGGCTTTTCCTACCCCTTGTTTCATTTTATTGTGATCACTTGTCACCACCTCAACAGACTCCCAGAAGTGATCCAAAAACATAATAACTGGGGAACAGATTTTTATGCACTAATAGTGCCAAAATATAAACTTGAAATGCCAACATTTACATGAAATGCACATAATAGTGGAAAATATGCTTTTGATAATCCAGGATGAATTTTTTAGAGGAAGAAACTACAATTTAAACTTCATATTGCCATCCTTCCCCTTCCCCAATGGAGTGGAGTACGTGGAAGCTTGGAGATAAACAGGTGCCTACTGGGTGTGGTTGGTCTATTCTTGTCACAGCACATGACAGCTGGAAAATTCTAATTTTCCAGGTGTTATGTGCTGTTCTGGCTAAATTCTTATTCCATAGGAAACTAGGGGAAAATGGAGTACTGCTACATAGAATGCACATGCTATAAGCAGATTACTGCCTTACTTTCATTGTGTCTCAGCCTGAAGTGTTCAGGCTCAATTTTTTCTGCATCTAAATTTTGACACCCATGAATTAGGTACTGTCAGAAGCTATAAGGCTGGGAAGGACACCTTTATTAAACTCATAACTACATATATCATGTTCCAAGATGCCAAAAATGAAACATCCAGCTTACACTGTTTCAGCATGACAAGCAAATTACAAGGCTCAGCCAGCTTAACTTTTTGAACATAAATGTTTATACCCCATATCCATTGGGGGGACAGGGAGATGAGTCAATTTTCTCCAATAGTGATTTCCCATTTAAGAAAAAGAAATTGCATTTCAAGTTTATGATAAAAGTCATTGGTTGTAACTGCTCTGTATATTAGGAGGCCACATTATACAGATTACCAAGAAGTTCCATGGGTCTAACCCATTTTATTAAATCTCTGAAAGACACTCTATCCAATTATGATTGGGACTATACATCTATAAGGCACAAGTATGATAGACAGTAAGGTTTCTAACTTACTTGTTCATCCTGTGAGGTGAGACCAAACATGAGCAATTCTTCCCAAATATCACTATGAAAGAGAATTCTCAATTTCTGAGTGGACTTGGATACAGACAATGATGACTTTACAGTCAAAATCTGATCAACTAAAGCAGTGACCTCTGCATACACCATAGACTTGATCTCAGCATCCTCATGAGATAATAGTTGCAACAAACAACTACGTGCAATAGATCTGTCACTTTCTGCAGTGGAATGTAACACTGTTATAGCGTGATGTAAGAAGGCTGGGCTTCGATGAACTATAAGACATGGCAATGCCTCCTGAATAGACTGAACACTTGAAGATCGATTCAAGGATCTGAGGATCCTGGTGGTAGTCTCCATGCTCTTAGGAATGGAGGCAATTTCATCCATGAAGCTCTGTCCCTGGAGGCATTCACTCCATTTCTGTAGTGTCTGGGGGATTTGAAACTCCAAGAAAGAATCCAAAAGGACAGTCTGACCCACTTCCAGCAATGTTCTTGGTAGGACTGTCTGGGGATTCTCTGTTGGAATGCTTATCCTGAGAAGATGGGATCCCAGGAGTACACTATACAAGTACTTGATGCGAGGGACCTCATTTGATTTTTCTGAAATGCAATGACTGATCAAGGCGAAAGACGTATGGATATTCTCTTGTGTTTCTAAACCAGTCTGTGAAGGATCACTCCACACACTTGGATGAAGTGAAACATTGGCAAGTCGAAGAAGTGATCCTGTGAGTCTAAGGCATTGGGCTAAGATATCCCAACTTGCTTCCTCCACTAAGGCCAACACAGCCACCAACACATTTGTGCAATACTGCCCAAGATTCCATTGAAGGGCTTGTGATAGCAAGTCTTCAATGTCTCTAGAGACATCCTGTGAGAAAAACATAATAATAACATGAATGCAAGCATCAAAGCTGATATTTTAAGCAAAAAACATGAAAAAGTATAAATAAAGATTCTTACTTTCGAACCATTTCCTCCAGGACTTGGTGAGGAGGCATCATCAAAGACCATGGATCCTCCTGAACTAGACAGGCTTAAGGAGCACCATGCCTGAAATGTTCAGCCCCAAATTGACATTCCTGATCATGCACATTTCCAATCAATGATAAAATCCATTTTCACTTATTCATCTTCTCAGTGGTGCTAGGGCTTTAAAAGTACAAATAATTGCTACACTGAAATTTAACATCTCTAGCAGGATTCCCTGACTCTAAAGGAATGGAGTAATTTAAAATTAGACATTAGTATTACCTTTTCCATTTCCTTCTTATTGCATTTTGTTCCAGCTGCTAGTTTAAACTCAACCCAAGGTATGAGAAGACTTGTTTTATTAAGCTTTCAAACTCAAATAGCAGTACATGAGTCATTCTTCCCTCCATAATGCCATGTTCAAATGCCTCACTGGAAGGACCTGCTACTTGGACAGAGCCTGATCTGATTTCTTAATGGGTCCTACAGGAATCATTTTCATTCAGTTAAACAAGTTCTTATGGAATCCCATAGATGAAGTCAGAACAGTTTATGTTGAACAGAGTTTGTGCAAACCAATCTTTCTCTCATCCCACTGATGTCCATTTTGAAATCAGAAAAGAGTGCAGTCAAATGGATATCATGAATGTCCTCTATTATATGCTCTTTTCTTTTCATCACTCTCTGCTCACTGAAATAAATAATCTCCACTCATCTCTCCAGTCATTACTTATGAGGGAAGGGAGTAAAATCTGAAAAGAAATACCTGGGTAGAGGATGTAGCAGCTAACTGAAAACAATACTTAAGCCTTTGTTCCCTTTATGAATGCAGTCACGAACCACACCAATTCTCTTGTGACCTAGTACTGCACTGGAGTGAATTTTGTTGGCTTAGAAATCAAATGGACTTGCTTAAGCAACAGGTACACTTCTTTACTCAGTTTTTCCATGTGCCTGCACCTAATTTTGTCCCAAAAATGCTTTTAAATAGTTTAAAGCCTAAGGCCTGAATGCTGAAACCTCCTTTAGTTAATTGTCCTTTAAGAACACATGAACTCCTATGGGAGAAAAAGAACTCTCAAAAGGGGCCTTTATTTCCCCTAAATGAGTTTGGGCATTTGGGCCTAAAATTTCTTTATGAATTTCATGAAAAACTTCAAAATAAACAATATTATCCCTCTCTGTTTTCAGGACACCCCACTTCTTTCTTTTTGTTGTAGCCCAACATGAGGATCATCACTTATGTATGCATTAACTGTTGTTTCCAATTTGCTGGCCAATTCCAAGAAGGAACCAGGAAAACTTAATGCAAACATATATGCCCCATAAAATGGCTTTAGTCATTTATTATGAAGCATTGGTAAGAGAATCAGTTAATCATTTGGAATATGATAGAATACTTCTAAGAATATGATAAAGAATAAAGGTAAGGGAAAAATAGCATAGTTTGCAAGCATGAGAAGCATAGCATAAGAATTTAAAATTTTTTTTAAGATTTTCTTTAAAGTTTCACCTCTTTTTTGTGTCCAATGCAGATGGGATCTGAATGCCATGCAAGCCTCTCCAGTAGAGAATTAGTGAGTCTTGTCAGGCAATGCAAACTTGCCAGCACAGATAACTTTCTCCCTTCCAGAACAGGTGTTGAAATCAACAGAAGTAAGGCCTGGAAGAATGAAAGCAGTCTTATACAGATGGCATCCCAAGTGTAAGTGGCACACACATATACACACACACACACAGATACCTTGATAACTTCTGGTCGCTGAATGAAAACTTCAGGAGGGAAGTCATGGCACACAACATCAGCCAAGAAATAGCAGGATTCAACTGCATGAGTAAGATCCTTCAGTGACTCGTGTGTAGACATCAAAACATTCAAATCAGAATGTGTCAGATGAACCCAAGGAAAAGTCCAGCCTTTTCTCAGAGCATCCTCATCAGCTCTCTGAAAATCCTCTTCAGATCTTTCAGTTTCTTGACTTCCTTCCATTCTTGATTCACTCCTCCTATGTAATTTAATTTTCTTCATTAGCCAAGACAAAGACTACTACCTCATCTAAGATGCCAATCTCCTGGCACTATAAGAAGGCATTCATATGGTTGCATAGAATTTTTAAGGGAGAAAATTCTTTGTTAGCAAGGTAGACAAAGTAAGTGCATGGTTGGTTCTTGATGTGGGGATAATGCCTCCTAAGGCTTATAATTGAATGATAATGGATCAATTTACTCACTGTTGAGAAAAGTAAATGCCTGGTATTGGAGTTCCTTCTCCATCCTCTGCTGGAGAACCTGAAAGATATCACATATGTGATTCATATATACCTGAAAAAAAAACATTTGAACCACCACAGAAGGGAAGAATGAACCTAGGTTCCTCCTAGAATAAGCTTACAAACTGGCAAATCTAGATAAAAATGGGCCTAAGTTAAGAGGTGTCCAAAATACAGCCCACAGGTCAGATCTGTCACATCACATGTTTTGCATTAAAGTAAGTAAAATGCATGTAGGATTGTACTTCACGTGTCATTTTATCACATCTCTCATGCATAAAAATTTTATTGTTATCTCTTATGGCCCAGAATATGCATGCTACTTCCAAACTGACCCAGCATTCTGAAACTTTGGATACCCCTGCTTTAAGTGGTTACTGGGGATTACTTAGATATTTGGGATTCAAGGTAGATTAAATATTAAATTGAATCTAGAGTGAAGGCAAAGCAAGGTCCCCAGAAAAACTCTGAAAGTCAATTTTGCAGGGATCCAAAATTGGGATAGGCCTCTGGCCTATCCCAATCTTGTTGATTATGGATGCAATCTTATTGTATCCATTATCAGTTATTGAATGACATCAAAGAAATCAAATATATCGGGTCAACACAATACAAAACCTGTTCATATCCAATATGGAGGATTGGGGGCCATGGAAGTAGATGGTACTAGTTTGTTAAAATAGAACTTAACAAGACTAAGATCAGTCTCAAGACCCTTGAGACTGATAGTCAAAGACAATACAAGGAACCAATTTAAAATCAACAGCATTAATATGAGCACATTCAGCAATTTCCAAATATATATAGGTTAGAGTATCATAGATGTATCACATTGGCAATACAAGGTTACTAAAATAAAAAATAAAAAAGTCAATTTCTAAAACTTTGAATTCTAAAAAATTATGTGGGATGCAGTAGAGCTATTTGCAATTAAGAACACTTAAAGGTCTTACACAGATTAACAAATACCTTTACTCGGCTGTTGTTGCCAAGTTTAGTGAAAATGTTAGGGTCACAAAACTAAAAAATTGTGTAAACTTTGAATATCAGTAACAATAAAAATATCAAAATTGAGCATAAATAAATAGACATTACATATTTGGATGTATTTTCAAGATGAATAAATTTTATGCTGAAATCATGTTCATGTGACTGTTGGGTAATTAAATGCATGGGGTTGACTAAACTTCTGGAGAGCAGGTTTTAAACAATGGGGAGCAAGAATTTTCTTGCTTGTGATTTTGAATTATCAAGGTGGATCCATAATACGATGATTCTACACAATTATTTACGTCAGGCACAATTTTATCAAGTTTTGATGCTTTTGATATGGAATGATCTGAGGGGAAAGAGAAATACTAGACCAAATATGAAACAAGGAGTAGTACAACTTAAAGTTGAAGCACTACACTTAATAATGAATTCAATACTTAAGTAGTGCTGTTCTTTTTAATGTGCAGGCCCATTCTACTTAGGGTATTTATTTCAATGTCAAATCCAGACAGTGTGAGGGTGAAAAAAGTTAGCATTTCCTTATTGAAAAAATTAGTGGCAATCTTTTCATGATCAAATTGATTAAGTCTAAAAGACAACTGACACAGTCCCCAGTTTCAATAATAGATCTAATGCTCCAAGGTTTGTATTTTCATGCTATGGTCTTACCTCATTTTGAGGCATTTCATAAACCAAATATTAAGCTACAGGTTTTGCAGGATAAGGAGTACCCATAGGCCTTCATCAGATCACAGAGTCCTTTAAATTTGTTGTTTGATTTCAAATAGGGAAAAATAGAAAAAATTATGTGAATTAAACCTCTTTTCAATATTGGTATAACTTTCTTAAATATTGATTTGTAATATGGTTCATCAACCAAGATTCAGTATTACTGCATTTCAATTCTTCAATTAATTCAAGAGCTGAATCCACTCATTTCAAGCTTGATATGATTCTTAAGATAGTATCAGCACAACCATAGAGTGATAACGATGTTAGAAGTTTTGCGCATGAAAACTTTGAGAAATGTGCTTATATACACTATTACCAGGCTTGCTTGCTTCTTTATTATACAGCTGTCAATTTATATTGAGTGTTTCCCACAATAGTTTACAGAAAGCAGTTGCAAACCTTCATAGGGAATGTGACCTGACAGTCATAACACCTAGTGAGCATTATTTAAAATCATAGTTCATAAATGCCTATTGCTCAGAGTACAGCTGTTGCTGTGACTGACATGACCACTGCTTCCTGTTACAGCATCATGCCATCTATATTTCAATCATGGTAATGTCCATTTTTACATTCCATCATCCATCAACCCTTTAAGTGCTGAGTTCTGGCAGTTTGACCACCTGTGTAGTTTTTTATGCAGGCTATACAAAGTACCCTGAAATTCTCAATAGATTACAGTAGAGCTCATTTCAAGTCCCATATTGATCACATGTACCTTAGGGCAATAGTAACAGCAGGAAATTTAAAATGCATATGCACATAAATAGTGAAGGCATTCCTTTTGCTGATGCATTAATTTGTTAATAGCAATTAAAGGGTTAAAGGTGTGGAGGAGCAATCCAGAAATTCAGTAACAGAAGAAGCAGCTAGAGGTCATCCAGAGCATAAATCCCTGGGCCTCCTAACTGGTTGCGAAGATAGGATGTGTAGCATGCTGGGGTGCCACAGATGCAAAAGACAGGAAACATACTCAAACTCCTACTGGGTTGCTCAGCTTTATGCCCAGGAGCTAGAAGAGTTATGATTTCCTCTAAGAGAGATTTCTCATTGCCAATTGCCACCTGGAGAAGCTCTTCACATATCTCCTCTCCCCCATATTTCTTCACCTGGTTTGCACCTTTATCACCTGCATGCTTTAGGAATAGAATTAATAGTTTTTGAATTTCTGCATTTGACATTCTGGTTGTATTATTTTGCTATTGATGGATCCAAGGCTAAATGACTGACCTTGAGCAGCTTTATTATGAAATTCAAAATATCACAATTTCTCCCTCCTTTGGATTGCTTCAACCAAGACAATAACTTCATGAAGAGATCCTGAGAGTCACACAATTCATCTGCTTGGAATATCTTCAAGTCCAATTTCCCTGATAAGGCATCAAGAGCTCTTCCTCGAACTTCTTCAAGAGGATGTCCTGAAGGAGAAAAATATAAGTAAAGCCTTTCTTTTAACATTACTTAATAGGGTAGTAATTGAAAAATGGCTCGTGATGTTTGATTTTCTATTATTAAAGTTATCTGTATCAAAACCCATATGCAGTAGCCTAGTGCATACACAGCAGTACCTCTAAATGTGGCCAAATTAGCAAGTTTTATCAACCATGTGTAAAAAGTATTACCGTGATGACAAACAGTTAAATTACTTGTAATTTTCTGGCCACAAAAGCCATTCTCCTTAATAACCCAAATTTTCTAACGTTAGCAGAAGAGATGGAATTATACAGATAGAAGTTTCATTTTTTTCATTTTGAAAAAAAATGGAAAATTTGTCGTCACTGTCAGGTTTTTGATAATCAGGACAAAGTCGCCGGTCTACAAAGTCCAGATTAATGAGAGTCGACAGCAACACAACATGAATACTTATCATAGGTTATGTCCCCGACATAGGCTGCACTCACCCAGTTTCGAGATGAGCTGTGGTAGCATGGTCACTTTCCAACAGAAACAGCCCCTGTGTGTTTAACTAAATTCAGGGGACCGCCTATACCTCATGGTCTATTTAAAAAAAAAATAAAATAAAATAAAACAAAAGAATCTCTGGGTCCACTGAGGGACTTCGGACGTTGCGCTCTAACTGACCCTGAGCGGGCCGCCATAGCAGTCGTCAAGAGCACTGACCAATCAAACGAAAGGAGCCTCCACGAACAGTGGCGTCACAGCAATAGGCTGCTCAGTTTCCAAGTAGTTCTTGCTAGTCTGCTCGTAGTATATGTCTGTTGTGTATTTGAGGCTATTAGCAGGTACACAACGTGCCGATTGATTTCTTTCACAATAGCGTACAGTTCTATTTAATTACGCCAGAGAAGTGAATGCAACGCGGCTACACGGACGCCAGACCGTGAAGCTGCGTGTATTCACGCGTTTATATTAGCCACGTAAAATCGTTTCCACGAATCGATAGGTGGAGCAAGTAAAAAAAAATTCAATCGACTTGCTGGTGATCCTCATCGTTGTTTTAGCACATATGACGTATAGCACGATGACACCATTTCGAACCGTTGCCACCCTATTTGCAGAAATGGAACTCGAAGTGGAAATGGAAGTTACATGGAGAACCTACTTGAGTTGAAACAGCGCTCCTGCCTACAAACGAAAGGTGAGGAGGAGAATGTCCATGCGATGCTAGATCTACAGAAATCTGAATCTCACTTCGGAAATTGGAAAATGTGATCACCACGAAAGCTTCTTGCGTTGCTATTCTTAGAAAAGGTAAACCATTATAGTAAAGTGGGGTAAGTGTATACCCAGAAAGAAAAGAAAGAAGTATTTTGGATCCCTTTGATGTTGAAATCATTTGAGGGATCTCAATTCACAGGGTAAAAACATATGTACTATATGCACGTCTCTCTCATTTATTACCGAATCATGAACTCCGAATCATTCAAGACTGGAATTGCCAATTAATGGATGTTGAGGTGAAAACCCATATTATATATATAATTTATTAAAAAGTAAATATTCTTTATTATTGTTTTTTATTAACGAGCCATATTGCTTTGAAAACTGCCTCTCTACATTATAAGATGTTCATATACGATGGCCGGATCCTTCATGTTCCGTTTTAAGTGCCACCGATTCATCAAATATGCCCTGAAAGGAGGTGCCCAAATTCAGTCACCCTCCCCTCTCCTCTGTCGATGATGGTCGCGTGCTACGCCGTGGTTTTGATTGCTCAATGAAGCATTCGGTGTCTTGATGCCGTAGGTCAGGGCTATTCTGCACGTGGCTCGCGAGAAGTCTGTGGGTAGTCCGTCAGTAGTCGATATGTACTTTCCTGAAAATAAAATTAAAATTTTGTACGATGAGGGTTCCCGGTCGTCCCAGCAGGTCGACTCAATTCCAATGAGCCAGTTTCCCTCCAGGAAAATTCCCTGACTTGTCACTTGTGCAATTGTATAAATCCTGAAGCATAAGCATAAATAAATTCACTTCTCGCATAAATTTTTTCTCGGGACTCGATCGGAATCTGGGAAGGATCGAGAAATAGGGAAGGGGACTGAAAAAAAAATCAATGTACGAGGTAGTTCAAACATAGGTGTTTCTTTTCTTTTTTTAAGAATTGGTATGACTTGAGGCCCCGTCTTCTATCGCATCTATCAAGCACATTCACTAGCCATTCCGTCGATCGCCAATCAAGGAATTGATTTCTGCGTAGGACTGCACAAGGACACCATTCCGACTAATTCCTAACTCAAGTATTTTTCTTCTTACATAACGCTTTGTCGGCTAGAGACAGTTTCATGACCGAACCCTATCTACTCCCAAATGAAAAGATCCTCTCCCTTCTTACTTTTAATAATCTTCATGTTCTCACGTTCACCCATCATTATTTAACCCACGTGACGACCTTCTTTCTGAGCTTCATTGCTTTTCAGGATCAAATCCCGTTTTGGATCTCGATGGACGATTTGCCAACTCATCAGTCATCAGTCGTTGCTGAGAGGATCATCCTGCGACCATTTGTGCTTTTCTTCTGTCGACGTGACAGTCTTGAAGAATGCTCTAACTTGACAACGAATCGTCTCGAATCGAAAAAATTATGTCTCTCTCATGCCGCATCATTCGTGACCCGGGAGAATTTCAACCATCCCGTAAAAAAAATCTCGTTCGTGATCGCCAATGGAACTGTACACGTACCGCCGTACTACTGCACCAGCGAAGAATTCGTGGATCGAAAAACCGACACGTCGGGGACTTTCCCAGACTCACCGACTCAACTTTCATCGATTGCACAGTGGGCTGTGCGGTGGGGTCAGGCAATAATAGCGCAGGAAGAAATCTTCTATCAAGACGTCTCCGCACAGCATCTTTCAAGGAAGTATACGATGTTTCACTGACTTGAACCCCAAATCTTTGCAAAATTAATCTCGCAATTCCACAGATTTACCCTTTCCTGCAGCCAAGTAGATCTCATGCGCTACTTTGTTCGTAATGCAAGAAGTAGCCATTTATGAAACACATGAAAATCTCTTGTCATTCGTGTTGCTACAACTTATTGAAAATAAACTCCCCACGGTTTTATTCCTAATACAGGGGTTCTCAAACTGGGGGGCGCGAGGGGGTCCCAAGGGGGCGCGACAAGTCATGTGAGTTTTTTTATCCACTACAATCATCAATTTAAACAATTATGGAATATTTTTATTCGTCTATCTATTATTTTTACTAGAAAAAGGTCACATTCCTTCAGGTCTTTCTGGTCTTTCTCCTGGAGTACAAGACTAAATGAAAGCAATTCCAGGCAGATTCGATTCCTTTTTTCACGGGGTGTACATTTCCGTCGGCGATTTCCTACGATTCGAATGAAGATGACCAATGAATCGTGCGTTCCTGTGGGCTGTAACTTGAATGCTCGATGAATGTAGTGTCCGTGCACTCGTACGCCTCTCAGAGAGAAAGGAGGCGCGGCGCCGAACCAGGGTCGCTAGGGGGGGCGCGACACCGAGCGAGGGTCACTAGGGGGGGCGCAGCATAAAAAGTTTGAGAACCGCTATCCTAATACATGTACCAACTTCTGGGAAGAAGCAGAATAATGCCGTTTAATGCCAAAGAAAGATACAGCCCTGCAAAGTCAGAAAAGTGCGAAATTTTCAGTCATCCCTGGAATTATCCCCCTGTGACTTACAGAGGATGAGATCACCAGCTGCAAATGATGCATCATTTTTGCCAGGACATTACCTTACTCAAGGGTATAAGCCAAATCGAGATTAACGCAGTCTTTCATGGTTCACCATTTTTTTCAAAAATCGGTCAGATTTTTTACAATATTGAGGAAATTTTCAATGTAGTCAATTTGACAGTATCAAAAATGGTATTTTTGTTCGCCCCATTTACAAAATATTTTTAAATATCCATGAGCCTGGGTTCCTATGTTTGTGGGGAAAAAAAATTGGGAGAAATCTGAGATACTGGATTTTTTGCCCTATTATTGCCTGCTAACTTACTGTGGATTGCTGTTGGAGAATTGACTGCGGGGAACCGACCGTCGTGACTTGACTGGCGAGGAATGGATCTGACACCAGATTATCATGTGTATTTTAACCACTTGAGGTACCTTTCTCCCGCTTACCCCTTCCCTCCCCTCTCCCCTTCCCCCATTCCCCCTCCCCCCGCCCCGTGATGACAATATGGCCCACGGTGCAATGTGTCATCGAGAATGTGACCTAATCAAGTTGAGTAGCCCCGTTTTTTATCCTTTCGTGGCGAGTACACTGCACCATAATCAGTTTTCAAATTCCTAATTTGAATGCAACATTTCGCAACGAACTTGTATCCCATCACGGGCTTTCCCCAGGCACTTGTCACCTAAACTCCCACTGTTCAAACGAAAATAATTCACGTCGGAGACGCCAGTATTTAGGAGATCGTTATTTCACTGCTGAAAATATACTCGATTGCCACTTGACCACATTCCATTCACACTTCAGCACGTAATTACGTGATGGAATGGCTGCTGTTACGTCGATAGAGGGATCGGGCGATAAGAAAGCCCAGCGCTGCATTGATCAAGCTATAAGGGCCATTTTTATGCGATCAGATACCAAGTGGAATAACGCTGCGTTTTCACTCACGGGGGGAGTCTCTGCTTGTTTTCCTTTCAAATTTTGTTCGAAAGAATACATTGTTCATAATAGATTTAAGATTAACAGACAGAAGAGGGGGAGAGAGAGAAAGAAACGGTGATAGATTCGAAAACATGAACGTCTTCGCCATTCAGTCGTTAGCTTGTTCCATTTTAAAGTCCAGCCTGACTCAGTTGAATATTCATAAGACTCTAATCATACATAGCTCGTATAATGTCTCCTTCCCGTCTCCATGCATTTGTCGGGAGTTCTTTCCATCGCCTTTTAGGTAGGCGCACCGAGCTGGTCGTCAATTCGTCAACCTCTCGCAACTAAAATTCCTTGCAGTAAAATTTGTAGACCACAAAATTTGGAGGAATTTTAATTTTAAATCAACTTCGAAAGAATAACTTAGTAGCCTCAACTTATGTTCCTTCAGCAAATATGTGGCTGGCCCATTGGAATTTCGGGATGCTGTTAGGTCACCTCCGCATCGCAAACATCCCGAAAACTGATGCGGTCAACGGACACATTTCTCTCTCGATCATTTGGCTTAGAAGCAACCAAATTACAAAATCAATCGAATCTGATTGTGTAGGGTTCGCCACATCTCTGCTGGCTAAGGGGAGTACATGTACAGGGTGTTCCGAAAGTTTCTGACCCACTAAAATGAAGATGGAGACGAGATTGACGGGAATATATTGATTTAATTGCATTCCTCGTGGCCAAGATTGCCCAAAGTACCATCTCCTACATTAATACCATTAATACCTGATATGATTTCCGCGGACTTCAAAGAAAACTCGGATCAGCGTCTCGAATCTCTCAACTAACCGACAGATGACGCTCATCACGTTCGTTTCTTAC